ATTCGGACGTTTGCATAGACAACCCCTCGTGTTAAAGGGAAGCTATATAGTTTCCTTTAGGGGGTATAGAGCGACTGTTTTAAAGTTATTTTATGCCTAAATGGTTTAGGAATGAGATAATAATATTTCAAACCCGTATTTTAAACTATTTCCATGCGAAAAATGCGAGGCTCCCAGATGTGCCACTAAGTTTTCAGGCTATTTCCATCGGAACGTTAGCATGGACAACCCCCTGTGATAAAGGGAAGCTATGTAGTTTCCAAGACAGGATATAGCGCTACTCTTTTTACTTTTTTTTTTACCTAATGGTTGAGGAAAGAGATTATAATATTTCAAACACGTATTTTAAACTATTTCCATGCGAAACATGCGAGGCTCCCAGATGTGCCACTAAATTTTCCGACTATTTCCATTCGGACGTTTGCACAGACAACCACCCGTGTTAAAGGGAAGCTATAAAGTTTCCGAGACAGGATATAGAGCGATCCTTTTCACTTTATTTTATGTCTAAATGGTTAAGGAAAGAGATAATACTATTTCAAATACGCATTTTAAGTAAAATCAATGCGAAAAATGCGAGGCTCCCAGATGTGCCACTAAGATTTCAGGCTATTTCCATTCGGACGTTTGCATAGACAACCCCCTGTGGTAAAGGGAAGCTATATAGTTTCCGAGACAGCATATAGAGCGACTCTTTTTACTTTATGTTATGCCTTAACGGTTAAGTAAAGAGATACAAATATTTTAAACCCGTATTTGAAGTAATTTCGATGCGAAAAATGCGAGGCTCCCAGATGTGTCACTCAGTTTTATCCTATTTCCATAGGGACGTTTGTATAGATGTCCTCCCGTGTTAAAGGGAAGGTATATAGTTTCCAAAACGGGGTATAGAGCGACTGTTTTAAAGTTGTTTTATGCCTAAATGGTTCAGGAAAGAGATAATAATATTTCAAACCCGTATTTTAAACTATTTCCATGCGAAAAATGCGAGGCTCCCAGATGTGCCACTAAGTTTTAGCCTATTTCCATAGGGACGTTTGCATAGACAACCCCCTGTGGTAAAGGGAAGCTATATAGTTTCCGAGACAGCATATAGAGCGACTCTTTTTACTTTATTTTATGCCTTAACGGTTAAGTAAAGAGATAAAAATATTTTAAACCCGTATTTGAAGTTATTTCGATGCGAAAAATGCGAGGCTCCCAGATGTGTCACTCAGTTTTATCCTATTTCCATAGGGACGTTTGTATAGATGTCCTCCCGTGTTAAAGGGAAGGTATATAGTTTCCAAAACGGGGTATAGAGCGACTGTTTTAAAAGTGTTTTATGCCTAAATGGTTAAGGAAAGAGATAATAATATTTCAAATCCGCATTTTAAGTAAAATCAATGTGAAAAATGCGAGGCTCCCAGATGTGCCACTAAGTTTTAGCCTATTTTCATAGGGACGTTTGTATAGATAGCCTGACGTGTTTGAGGGAAGCTATATAGTTTCCAAGAGGGGGTATAGAGCGACTCCTTTCAAGTAATGTTATGCCTCAATGGTTGAGGAAAGAGATTATAATATTTCAAACACGTATTTTAAACTATTTCCATGCGAAAAATGCGAGGCTCCCAGATGTGCCACGAAGTTTTCAAGCTATTTCCATTCGGACGTTTGCATGGACAACCCCCCGTGTTTGAGTGAAGCTATATTGTTTCTAAAAGGGGGCATAGAGCGACTGTTTTAAAGGTTTTTTTATGCTTAAATGGTTCAGGAAAGAGATAATAATATTTCAAACACGTATTTTAGACTATTTCCATGCGAAACATGCGAGGCTCCCAGATGTGCCACTAAGTTTTCAGGCTATTTCCATAGGGACGTTTGTATAGACGACCCCCCGTGTTAAAGGGAAGCTATATAGTTTCCGAGACAGGATATAGAGCGATCCTTTTTATTTTATTTTATGCCTAAGCGGTTAAGTAAAGAGATAATACTATTTCAAACCCGTATTTTAAGTAATTTCGATGCGAAAAATGCGATGCTCCCAGATGTGCCACTAAGTTTTAGCCTATTTCCATAGGGACGTTTTTATAGATATCCTCCCGTGTTTGGGGGAAGCTATATAGTTTCCAAGAGGGGATATAGAGCGACTCCTTTTAAGTAAGGTTAGGCCTAAATGGTTAAGGAATGAGGTAATAGTATTTCAAACATGTATTTTAAACTATTTCCATGCGAAAAATGCGAGGCTCCCAGATGTGCCACTAAGTTTTCAGGCTATTTCCATAGAGACTTTTGGATAGAGAATACCCCGTGTTAAAGGGAAGACATATAGTTCCCGAGTCAGGTTGTAGAGCGAAACTAATAACAACATGCATAAGATCAATTTTACAGGTTGGGAGTTATGCAGAAGAAGCATATGATGTGACTGTAATTTTGTTCACTTTACTACTAAGATAATCGTGTTTACCCTTGGAAATATATTTCTTTAACCAATGTGTTGTATTTAACTTAGATTTTATGGGTAATTTTGCAACCATGTTTCTTATTTTGTTTCCAATGAAACTTTGATCATTGGTAACATTACATAACATTTGTAAAAGACGGGCATACAAAAGAACTACACAAAGGTCAAACTACTGATCCTATGAATCATATTATATATAGTAGCTTCAAGCGATGTTATGCTCAGTTGGTTTATAAGATTATTTGATGAGAAATAAATGCATTATAACACAAGAACACACTGATATGTATCTTAACTATCTATATGGCTACTTTACCTGTTTCATTTGGCACGCTTGATGATAACGAAAAACATTACTTACTTCACTGTATTAAACACACTCGAGAAAGAAATATACTCTTTGAAAAATTATCCAGACAAAATGTAAATGTAAATGTCCACAGTCATGAAGATAAATTATTTCAATACATCCTGTCAAATAATGAAGCAGTCAATATCAACTGCATTTGTTTCCACATCTATAATTTCAAACAATAAATACCCCTTCATAATCAACCGTTGACATTTTATGTATAAAAATATGTAACATTGATTATTTTGTTTTTGTATGTGTCTACAGGAATGTAAATTATGTATGTCTGTATATATGTATATATAAATCATAATGTCTTGTCTTTTAAAATTGCATCTGTCCCGTAATGGAACGTTTCTGCAATAAATATTATCTTATCTTATCTTATAATAGGTGGAACTATTTGAAGATGATATTGTATAATGTAAATGCATTCCCAGCCGGAAGTAAAGAAAGTGTCGTCTGTTACAGACAGCTTGCAGATTAATTATCCAGCCGTCCTCGTCTTTATCAGTTAGGAGGTGGGAGATTTGTTCATGTGGACCTTCACTGAAGGGATTTATTCCGGGGCCGCGCTGCAGTTTATTTGGAGATGTGGTATCAGATTACAAAAGTGCTGTCATCATTTGGCCTTGACGTGTTGACGGGAGACTGGCGTTGAGCAGCCGGCGGGGGGATTCTTATTTAGGATGACCCAGAGTGGAGAAATAGAATGAAAACGCATAATTGAATTCAATAGAAAAACACTGGAACATGCATGCTGAAACAGAACAGTGAACTAAAATGTACCTAAATATAGGTGGCTAGAGGGGTTGGTGGTGGGGAAATTAAAGGAAACATAATTCAGGAGCTCTTAACCGTTTGAAGAATATTTGTAAAAGAGTTCAAGTTAACAATAAACCCCCACAGTATAAACGTTCTTGGTCAAACACCTCTCACGGTATTTACTTTCGAAACAAGAATATTATATGAACAGGGTGTTATATACTACCTAGTATGCACTAGACCAATAATGTAACATGTGAATAAGTATAATGTATGTGAATAAGTACTATAATAAGACACAAAAATGTTATCAATGCTTTGGGAAAAGCCTGTGTAAGTCTATGTCTCCTGACCCCTCGGTTCTATCAGATAAGGGACAGTCTCGCCACAACACAGCTGTTGCTGAAAGGGGATATAAACAATAACACAGTGATGTGGGGCAGCTCACTGGCACTTTTTACTGGCACATGTGCCGATCAGTGGCATGAGCCTTCCCCATATGATGTGGCTGAAATATAGTGCCAATGCGACGTTTAATTTTAACTCACTCACTGTTTTAGTTATACTACTCTGTGTGAAGAAATATGAACGTTGTTACAATGTATGCATATTTGAAACTGCGACGTTATCAGTGTGCCGCTCAGCGATATACATACAAAGCCAGCCCGCAGCAAAGCACCATAAAGGTAAAGCGTTAGTAAAATGATAAAAACGATAAGACTTATTAACACACAAAATCGGGAAATTGCATTCACAACACGGTCACAAAGTACACAGTTGTTCATGAGGACAAAATCACTTTCTCCGCCAACGTCACCCCCAAACGACAACACGGACTAGGCTACAGTCTCCAATCTCTTGTCACTCTCAGTTGCGTCAGTCAGCCAATCGACCCACTACGTATATGAGCCTAATGCGTCCAAGCGGGCAGTGTCAAAGCACGTTAAGACGAGAGTCTAAGTAATATGTCATGGTTTTTGCTTCAATCAGAAAATGTGTGCCCCACTCCTCCACCCTACCACCTCCCCCCCCCCCCCCCCCCCCCACCACCCCCACCGCCACCAACACACACACGCACCAAAAAACAAACAGAAAAAACAAAACAACCGCCCAAAAAGAATCAACAACAAAAACAACAAAGAATCAAACAGGGGCCAATAAAGATAAAGCTTAGATCTAGAAAAATTATATGATTGAAAATGTTATAGTCAAACCATCCATCGAAATGCATGCATGTTTTGTTTACGTTTGTCCAAGATATTCCTACGCAAAACGACAGTTTTCACTCTGTGTTTTACCGTACTGTTTTGAGCGTAGTGCTATATAAACAATCTATATACTTAATTAATATTTTTTAACATGTGTGCTATGTTGTAAATGAACAGAAACACTATTGATGATATGGACTATATCTCTTGACGTCACATGCATGCACAGGAAGTCGAGGCGTGATGGGGCGAATGTTTTGATCTGTCACACTTACTATGGCTGAGTGAGATAGAAGTCTGTTTTAAATTGAGGACAGTCCACACACACCCTGGCTTACTTTGTGTAGGGGGTACATGTCTGTTGAGTATGGGGAACTGTCTGAAATCACCGAATACAGACGACATATCTTTATTACGAGGAAGTGATAGTCAAGATGGCTCTGACCCAGGCCTTGGTCCCCCACCACCTTACCAGGTTAGTAGGCCCTAGTCATCACAGATAGTTATTTGTTTTATCAACATTGAACTGAATTCACCGTTAGATACTGTTTCGATCTTATTTCTTATTGTTTTGTAAACGTATTTGAAGTGGCGTCATCAATTATTATTTGGACTCATGTGATGTCACTGTTTCATTTAGTTGCTAGTTCCTTCTTTGTGTTGAAAGTGGGTTATTTAGCCTAGTATTGTAGAGTGTAGTCATCTGCACATACTGGACGACTACCAGCTGATTGCTTCTCGGCTCTTCATAAATGTGGAAGTGAATTAAAGGATTTATCAACATACTTTTTTTAAATTATTATTGGTTTGTCATTTCTGGCTTGTCTACTGAGCACTTCAGTAGAAACTTTCAGTATACAACTTGAAACTAAAAATAGATTTGTAGTGTTTACATCTGATGGTTGATAAATGTATCTCTCTTGGATTCAATGATGATATTTTCCATGTGTTAGCTTAAACAGTGGGGATAACTGCAGATCGGAGTATGATTCATGGTCATATGACAATAGAAGTATCATTCCCCTAGCAGCATGTAACAAATAGTTACTAGAGTCAGTTCTCCGAATATCGTACACTTTTGGTCGCCTGTCTCAACCACCAAGCTTTGTATGCAGATACTGTGTCATGGGGCATAGCAGACGAAAGATTATCCAATCATCTTGCCACCCCATTAAACCGGTTGTACATTTCGATTTCCGTTTTGACCACACGTTCAGTCAAAGGAGGCTAATAACGATCACTTAAATTCGTACAGTGTGACTGTAATATCGTATGCAATTTCTTCTAATATCGTACATGTATTTTAATTCCGTACAGCACTTGAAGGTACTGGCGTAGCTGTTATTTCTTATGAAAATTTGTATTTATTGGTTGAATCAAAATTCAAATTATCGCACGAAAGGAAATGCACAGGTTCAAAACTATATAAATATGTAGATCTAGATCCCATTATTATTGATCATTAGTAGAATTTATTAATGAATTACGAATGTTGTCATTTTTAAAGCTAATTTTACAAATAAGTAAAAATCATAGTTTGTAATAAATAATGCAGAAGTCTATAAATTTGTAATTATTCTTCTAAACATGAACAGAGCACAAACATTGTTCAGTTACAATGTCTGTTAAAAATGGCGGAACCAGTCAGGAAAACAATTTAGTATTATACTGAATAGTGTATCAATGCAAAGAGCCAATCATATAAAACTTGGTATTATGATCTGATAAACATGTAAGTGAGGCCACCTGTCAGGAACTACATTTGCCCCACACATCGATACAATGTCTGCTTAATCAATAAATTATTGACGAACATTCATAATATAATATGTTTGAATAGGGGTTTCCCGCTGTGTTAATTGGTGTTTCAAACTTGACTGCATGCAAATAAGTTGGCTCAGTGTGACGAATGGGACGGTTCGCTCAAACCTTGTATTGCAATTTCGAAAGTTACTTTATATTTGAATAAAAATGCGTCCTAAACTTCGGGTTAGGAGAAGGAAATTATTACCCTCTTGTGTTTCCATATACCATATGTTAGAACTAAGAAATATACAGATCTCGTCTATCTCTTTATAAGATAACTTTAGCGTTAGAAGCTGACTTCCCACCCTTTTGCAATTGCCGAGCTCACCTCGCTTCCATACACGCTTGTTTTTCTCTTTCTTGCTTTTCTTTCTCGTCTCTTTTATCTGCCTTCATCTTAATGATTTCATCACTTGTTAGTACGTGGTGGGAGGTCAGCTTCCGGGGATTTGATTTTGAACTTTGTTCTTTAACTACAGGAGCAGGAAGGGAAAACTCAGACTTAATAGCATCCATTGCAACAGCTTCAGAGACCGTGGCTAGTTCCACAACTAAGTTGCCAGATTCGTCCAAAGAATAGGGGGTATCACCTGTCAACACAGATAAAATGAAGTCAGTGGGAGACAGGAGAGATGCACCCTCTGGTAACACTGCTTCAGATGTAGAAGGAACCACTGATGTCCCAACCATTGGTGTAGCAGACACTCCGGCATCATGTGTGATAGCTGAACTATCTGTATTCACCAGGGTGTCAGCTACAGCAACAACAGGAATATCAGCAACCCCCACTTCTCTGGATGAATCAAATCTAACGTCAAAGGGTTTGCTGGAGGCAAATGCCTGATCTGGAATTGCTTTTCTATTTACGGGGTATTCCACATTTGCAAAACCCACTACCCATTATGCCTTACCGTAGGCTTCCTTGAACAAACAGGGCCATTGCCATTTAGTTACTTAGTTGTTCGGGCTTTGCACCATAAACTCACTACACACCCTGTTCCACTCCCTGCTTAGTGGACCAGAGACTGACTTGTCCAGAGGACACAGCCACTGGGTTGTGTGAGGAGGAAAGGCTAAGATGGTTAAATCATTTGCCTTTGCCTTCTCAAGAAGCCCAAGCGTTTTCGTGTGAACTTTGGCTGTCCAGCACGATAAGTTGAGGCCTCTCTGGTCCACAGTGTTTGAGGAAGTGGTCCTCAAACAACCTTCACCCAGAGTGTCCTCCATCCATGCACGACTCTGGTATGTATAGGCCGTGCCGGGCACTCCAGCCGGAGTATTATATGCCTGCAGGCATTTTGACGTCTTCGCCTTCACTATGGCCATAGGGGGAATGTTGTCACCGGCTGCATTTATGCATGCCAGCACAGTTACATTATCTCGGGTGTTTCCCACGCACCCTGGGACATTTTTAACCCCAACTTCCGCCATCACTTTGGTTGGTTTGTGGGTCAGTTTCGTCAATGTTCCATATATTACGGGGCTTATCTTGGAGCCCAAAATCCGTGACAATTTTTTGAAGTTCATCAAAATATTTGGTTGTCACAGAGGGGTTGAGCATTCTTGCTCTGACTGTGGACAAGGGAACGGGAGATCTTAAATGAATGTTGGGTTGACGCTTTAGAAATCAAGCAATCCAGCCCTGGCCAGGCACACCATTCTTGAATGGGGTCTTTAGTTTCAGCCTCTTGCTTATACGGGCAACTTTTAAGATAAGTTGACGTCGGGTTATTCCAAAACCTGTCAGTGCAGCAGCCTTAATTTGGTCAGCAATTTCATCTTCAATTGCTGCAGTCAGCACTGATTGGCGCCCAAGACTACCTCCCTCCGATTTCCCATGGACATGATCACTAATGGTCATCGCAGGTACTTTGTAATGTTTTGATGCTGACCTAAAAGACAGACCCTGCTCCTTAACAGCCGCAACGGCACACTCCAGGGCCTGCTTAGAGTACTGGCGTCTTTTATCTAAAAAATTAAACACAAAACTAACTTTATAAATTTTAATACTGCCCAATTTGAATCAAAACAGAACGAACAAGTTGGAGCATATTGTCTTGATGAAGTCCATTTTTTTTCGAAATATTCGAGAACAAGTCTTGCCAAAAATGTGGCAGACACGGGGTCGTATATTTTTTTTCGATATGCCAGAACACAGAACGAACAAGTTGGAGCATATTGTCTTCATGAAGTCCATCTTTTTCGAAATATTCGAGAACACGTCTTGCCAAAAATGTGGCAGACACGGGGTCGTATATATCTTTCCGATATGCCAGAACACGACAAACAACGTTTACCACTGCAGACCCGCATTTGGGATGATCTAAGGATTTCTGTAGCAAACCAATTATTATTTCAGCTTCATTTTCAAAATAAACATCATCCAGGGTTAGGGTGTTTAAAGTTGAACATGCGACTGCAATCGCTATTTTATGTCCGCTTCCAAATATTTCGCGGCGCTGAACAGATTTTGAAAGTGTCATTTTCTGTAAAATTGACAGAAAACGTATAAACAGATGAATAATTGTAATTAAGACAGACATATCTTTGTTTTGGGTTAAAACGTATTCCTCATTTTTTATTAGCTACAGTATGAATACTACAGTTGTACCTCGCTGATACCGATTGTTTTACCGAGTTTGCTCATCAGTTATCAATACTCACACAGTCAACACTTATTAGATAGAGTTTTGGTGTTGACAAGAAATTATCTACATGTTCGTTAGTTGTTAGGCCATCAATATTATTTTATGTGTTTGTCATCTCCAACCTCAACCACCAAGGAAGCAGAAATGTTTTTCACTAATTTTCAACATATTCTACCTTGGTACCAGTCTTCAAATTAATTTTGGACCTATTTCGAGTTGCTTTGCTTCGGAAACAACTTTTAAATACACGTAGTTGAAGAAAGATCAAGCTGACCTGGGCATTTTAAGAATGTGCAATGATAGTCGTACTTTTGTTATTACATCGGGGCAAAATTAATACAGACACTCTGACAGCCTTACAATGTTTGTTGTATCTTTTTGTAATATATCTTAAAACATGTACAGTTACTAGGTGTATAGTCTTTGTATTGTCGTTTTACTTTAAGGCTGCGTAGTAATGTGGCACTGGACACGTGATAAGATATAAAAAAACGTTTTCGGATAGATCTAAATGAAAACAGGGATAAGGTGTACTGATGTCTGTTACTTAATATTTCATATAAATAAACTTATGACAGTGAGCGACTACTTCATAATGGACTTCAACAATGACCATACACTAAGGTCACAATATATATTTTTTTTGTCATTTTAATTTGTTTATCATTGCTTATTCAAGTGTTTCATTAGAGGGTACATCAAATGGAAAATGGAAAATTTCACTTTACGAAATTAGAAGCATAGCAAAATATACTAGCCACATAAAGAAACTGTGCACGGAGAAAATATAGATATAAGGGCACACCGTCCATATATGAAATATAGGTTTGAACACAGCAATTATTGGAGACATTCAAACGCTCATGCACGTGCCAAGCGATATGACGTCATTGATGGGGGCCTATGGACGTGGAATGTGTTACTGCACGTGCATCCTGTGCAGCTGTACACAGCATGTGCAACTCAAAATTCGCTGTCACTTTGGAAAGCATGATCTGTGGTCATTCAAAAATTCAAAACT